AAAAGTATTATTATTATATAGCATATATATATATATATATATATATATATAATATATATATATTATATGTATACATATTATAAAACATGTAATATATAATCTCTAAACTGTGTATTGTATTATTATAATTAAATACACAACCGATATGTGTATCAATCACATGTGTATATAAATTTGAATTTCACAAAATGTCAAAAATATACGTAATTATGTTACATCCAACAATCTCAAGCTGTGTGCCAATTTTGAATTTGAGTATCAATATACTTGTCAATATAATATAATTAGAAGTAAAACTGATTAAAAACTGATTAAGAAAAAGTAAAAAAAAAAAAAAAAAAGACAGGAAGCGGACGCCAAAAGTCAGTGCTCTATAAAGTGTAAATTTGCATCTGTTTCGCGCACTAAGAAGATTGCACTTACATCTCGCGTTTATGAAAATCTGTGAACTCCGAAATTTTTGTTCTGTGTGCAACAATCAATTTTGACATATATTTACAAATATTATTTGTGCACACACATTTGAAAACCACAGTTTCGCGTGTACATCAGTCTAACATATCACTTGTAAATCACTCTGTAATTAAGCGCATTTTATTATTAATATCGAAATGTTGGCGATGATTTTTGTGTGCAAACATTTTAAGAAACTCTGTTAGGTGCGTTATCTCAGAAGAAAACTCTATATGCACCTTTCCGTGTTCTAATTTAAAATTACCACAACTATTGCACTTGCTGGTCACTGTGTATGTGTTTTCGGAACGATTATCACGGATTTGGAATGTGAAATCATAGTAAGGTTTTTAAGAAGTCGACAAGAAATAATAAAATTAATACAATGAAACGCCAACAATAATTAGTCGATAATTTCTCCGACAATCTGGATTACTCCTGAGACATGTTTGTTTTGTGGGGGAAAAAACCAGTTTGGACATTTGTCAATTGTTCTAAAAATCAGTTCTCATTGCCACCGTTTGCGATCTTATTCGAAAATAATTCCGAACACATTTTCCACATAAAAGAAAATTATTTCGAATGTTTTACCTAATGTCGAGTGATAAAACTTACGTAAATACGCGCGCACTGTTTAACGACATTTCTAACCCGACGCGATTTTCATTTATACACAATATTTCCACATTTGCACATAGGTCCTATGTAAATCACTAAATATATACAAAATCACGTAAATTTCTTACGATGGCGATCACGATAACGGAGTGTGATTTTTAGTACAAAGCGTTGAGCAGGCATTGCTCGTCGCCCCAGTCCAATTGGCAGATATTCTCGGACTCGTGGACTCAGCTGAGCTGGTAATATTCGGGCGCGAAGTCGTTCGCCAGGTTGCTGAGGAAATTGAAGTCGGACGAGCTGTTGCTGTTGTCGGCGGACGGCGGCGGCGGCGCCGCCGCCGCGGCCGAGTGCACCGATTCCCCGTAGAAATTACCGTAATTGCCGTAAGACTCGTTGTTGCCATCGACCTGGCCGGTGCTTCCGGGCGGCGTGATCACCGCCGCGGTGGCAGCCGCGATCGCGGTCGCGGTCGTTGTCATGCCGGGCGCTGGGAACGGATCCGGCGACGAGACGTAGCTGTTCGGAATGTTGGAGGCCTCTCCGCCCTGATGTACGTGCAACTGAGCGGTCGTCTGCTCGTAATACGCGCTCGGATGACACTTGTTTCCCGGCCGGTAATCACCGGAACTGGGATGCATCGGCGGCTGATGAGTCACGTAGCCTTCGGCGGTGTGTTGCTGCGGATGTTGCTGCTGCTGCTGAATGTCGTTGAAGTAATGCTGTCCGGTCTGGACGGAAACCGCGGCGTGACCATGCGTCGTCAGATTCTCGCTGGCTCCGTGATAATTGCCGCCGGTTGAGTAACCGTAATTTCCAGGCGCCATTGAGTAGCCGTCGCTACCCTGCTCGTTCTGCGCCGCCGAGTATCCCTGACCGGAATTGTAGGCGTTGGCACCTTGCATACCTCGGTGATAAGCGTGATAAGGCGGTCCGGACTGGGGATACCCGTTGTATTCTCCGGTGCTGCCGTACTGCAACTGCTGCTGGTGAAATTGCATGTTAGCACCGTACATCGACCTGGACACGGTGCCGGTCGCTCTGACATGATGTGTCATCCTCGATCCCACCGCTTGATTTTGTCTAACATACAAAGAATTCACTTCGCTCGAGTAAGAGATTCTCGGTTGCTGATAAGTGTCTCTGGAGCAGTAATTGTTCTGCGACTGAGGTTGCTGAGCCGCCGCGGGTATGTTCTGTCTGTTGGCGGGCACGCCGTTTCGATAATCGATCGCCGACGCGGGCTGATACACGTTCTGTTGTTGAAAATGCGCTGTTTGCTGATTGTTGGAGATATTTCGACCGCCGTGCGGCGACATCGTGCCTGGATTCGTGGACGCGTGCAACATCGGACCCGAGAGCGAAGTCGTGGACGACGGCGAGCTTCGCGGTCTCTGCATGTATGCCGTGTGAGTCGGTTGCTGAATACCGAGAGGACTGCCCTGCTGAAGCTGGACGGAAACCGGGGTGCCGGGTGTGGAAGAGGGCGTGAGACTTCGCGTGGAATTCTGACCGGGCAGCACCGGCGTACTGACCGTTGAATCCGGCATAGCCAGCAACACGCCGTTGCTGTTCACCGAGCACATGTCTTTCGTACTGGCCGACGGCGATTTCTTACTTACTGAGATCTGCTGCTGCTGTTGCTGCTGCTGCTGCTGCTTCGCTGCATTCGGACTTTTGTGACCGCTCTCGACCTTCACTCTCACCTCGCCCGACAATTTTTTCGTCACGCTGGGCGATGTCACTTCACTACCATCCTGCGACCTCGAGTCGTCGTCCACTATCATCTTCTCGAACGAGCTGGACACACTGTTGGTACTGCCGACGCTACTGGCGCCGTTGCTGTTCGTGTTAAAACCGGAATTGCTGTTGTTATTATTGTTATTGTTGTTGGTCGCACCCGGTGTGTTATTGTTGTTACTGTTTCTTCGGCCGGAAGAACCCAACTCGGTAACGTCACCGGTTAGAGTACTCCCAACATCACCCACGCCCGAGATATCACAGTTATGACAGCTTTTCTTCTCGTCATTATCGCCAGATAACATTTTGTCGCTCTTGGTTTTCTCCATTCCGTCCGAAGTAGAGCCGTCTTTCTCGTCTCCATCTTCTTTGCTCAGAGTTTGTCGTTTGTGCTTCATTCGTCGATTTTGGAACCAAACTTTCACCTAAGGGAAGCACAGTATTGGTTTGTATTTAATTATTTATTTAAAGAAACTAGAATGACATGTAGGGATGCACAATAAAATTTCAATTTATGCACATAGATTTTTATTCGAAGAAAAAGAAAAATGCTATAGATCTTTTTTTTACAAGTTATTACGTGTATTTTCACGTACTATAGAAATGACGCCCAACGTGGAGTTTACGAAAAAGGCAAAAATTTATTGTAAAATCAGTAGAATAAAGAAGATCTAGCGAACAATCAACGCCTATGTAGTTTTTGCAATTGAGATATTTTTGATTTTTGCTAATGGCACATAACTTTTCGTATTCTTTATAATTTTGTATTGTTTTATTTGAACTTCTGCGTGTAAAAATTCTCTATATTTGATTTGTTTGTTATTTTTGCGCATCTATCTGCTGTCACATCTTGTAATATAAATTTAGCATTAATTTTGATTATGTTAAATGCATTTTGATTTAGATTTTAGTAAATTATTTTGAAATTTTGGTTGCCGCGTACGGATAATATTTTCGTCACATCTTGGCGCAGACATTATTATTACCGCTGTATCTTTCGCGTTGGCACGCGTATTGTGTTACTGCGTGTGTTTATCACTTCTGCTTTGTATTGCGGAATTTGAGCACAATTCTCACTTTGAAGCATGCAAACGGAATGGGCGAAAATATTTTGATTATTTGACGCGTTTATCCTCATGTTGAGAATCGATATATTTATTTTTATTGCTTGAATTTGTTAGTTGCCTTTTTAAGAATATTAGCAAGTGAACCGCTATACTTGTACATAATTACATGTGTCGAAGTTATTATTATTCTTAGTATTAATTATGTATTTTTAATTATTACTTATTACAAAAAAAATGTTCTGCCATTAGAAGGCCAGCAAGAAAAATTTGCTAAACATGCTGAATTTTTTTTTTTATGTTTTATTTTAGTAACAAAATATTTTGCTGGCATTTTAACAATTCATATAACAATTAATATTCTTGTTATTTCAGCAAACATTTTTTTTCGTGTAGCACATTTTCGATTACTCATAAGTATTTAAAATTAAATTAACAACATTGAGAGATGTATAATTTTTATAGCGTTTTATTTGGAGCCTGGTTACCTGTCTTTCTGTAAGATCCAATGAAGCTGCGATCTCTATCCTTCGTGGTCGACAAAGGTACTTGTTAAAATGAAATTCTTTTTCCAGCTCGAGAAGTTGCGTATTCGTGTAGGCTGTTCGCAATCTTCTTGGCAAGCCATTTTCTGTAAAATACAAAATCCATTCTTCCTGAATCAAAATATTATCCGTGATTATCAAGTACTTATTAAAAAAAAAAAAATGCTTGTCAGAAAGTTATTGGTAACGAAAACAATCTAAAGTCTTCCGAGGTTACAAATGTTTTATATATAAATTGTATTTTATTTACAAAAAATCACAAGAGTATATTTTTACATTTAACACTTTATCCTTGTAGCGCATTAAAGGTTTTTGCGCTTTGATATTCACTTAGTGTCGCGGCAAATGTTCTCTTTTTGTCTGTGCCTTAGGAAGTAAATAGTATCCTAATTAATGATTATATATAAGCAATATAAACTAAACGGACGAAGAAAGGGGTAAGGGGATGCAGCGTGACATCCTTAACAATGCATGAGCGAAGATTCCCGCGCGGTCGAAAAGGCCTCGGTTCTAGTTGTTGTTATACGGCGAGTTACTCGACTCCTTACAAACTTTTGGGCAAGTTCTCCCCCCCCCCGACACTATTCCGTGTCGATGCGAAACACCTCCTAATTGTTATCGGGCAAGAAACTTGTTCCGCGATAACAAGAGGAATGCCACGCAGGCCGCTGAAGTCCGGCGAAGACGCGAAAACGCGGGGATATACTACATCGGCGATGGGGCGACACGTTGTACAAGGAAGCGTCATCGTTTATTTGAGAAGATCTGGTCTAGAAAGTAGCGACCAAGTATCTCACGATACTTCGTCGAGGTGTGTGGCGTAAGAGTAATTTCCAACCAACCGCCGTAAACAATTATTAATAGCCGCCTATCGTAATTACAGAATTCGCTGCACGCTCAAGAGGAGTAATATTTCAATCAAATTTGATAGCTCTCCGCTGGCTCGCGTTGTTTACAGGACACGTCTTGACAAATTCTCTAGAAACAAGCTTGTATATATATATATATATGTGCGCCGTTGCTATAAATGTGTTGAGAAGAACTTTATTGCGGCACCTGTATTTGAACTGTTCGATGTTAGGATAAAGAACAATTATTATATAGCGTGAGAGAAATATATATATCGCGCCAACATTTTAGTTCACCGATAATAACTAGCCACCTGGACTTCAAGGTTCTTTTTTTTTTATCGGGATCAGGGGTGTTACACTTTTTTACGCGTCGCCGTATCGCGAGAGAAAAAGAAACCGATACAGCGTGACGCAGTTTGGGCGAAGGGACAGAGCGAGGGGGTGGTTCGTTTCGTAGGGCCGAGATGCTAAACTACCCCATAGCGTGCGAGCGGATATAGGGGTGACTGAGGGGTGGTTCGACAGTGGGATGAGTCGTCAGGGGGGTTCAAGAAGAAAGAGAAAGAAAACGACGGAACGAAACAGAGGAAAAGAGATAAAAGCTAAAAAGAGGAAGACATAGTGACTGGAAAAAAGTTGGAGAAGATAGGTGATAGAGATGGTTGAAGAGAAAGAGAGAGAAGGACTGGAAAAGAAAGAAAACACACACGGATGAGAGAGAAGGGCGTAGACTGAAGATGTAGTAAACTTTGAACCTAGCAAATCCTGCACGTGGAGTTTCTATAGGGTGAGGGCGATGGTGGCGAGATGAAAGTATCGCATGATTGACGTGGGCCTCATCAGCATTTCGGTCTTGCGATTGGTTGGACGAAACTGTCGATCAAACTCCACTCCACGCCCTGTATCTGTTCAATCGTTCCAAGAGTTTAATTCAATCCGACGATGAATACAGAACGGTATTGAGACGGCAAATAACTAACGGCGGTATATAAATTATACCGTTTACTAAATAAAAGTAAAATATATACATGTTTCATAAAAACACACTACCTCTCTGTAGCGTGTACGTCACAAGCAAAAAACTTAAATAAATATTGATAAATTACTTGTTATTTGAATTTAAATGTTTGATCTTCCTTGCAATAAAAAAAAAAAAATCGATTATTGTTGCGTGTGTAAACAAAATAACGATACGAAGTGCGACATATGTTACTATTTCTTAACTCAAATTTAGTGACAGGCATTATATTGCTTTGTAACGATTTTTTTCTCAGAACGGAAATGTCGACGTTGCTAGCGAGCTTCTCATTCTTGCGAGACGATGTAGCGGATGACGAACTGTCAAGGCGTAGTTAAAATGAAGAGCGTGACCTGACAGGATCGTGTGCGAGGTGAGAACGATAGAGCACGAAAATAGAGTCCGTATTTTCGTATATCACGTTGTTAGCCTCCTTTACATGTTCATCTGGTCGAGACTGCTACATTACACACAAACTACACAAAAGAATTATTAGAAACACTTGATGCGTATAAGCTTTAATTTAAAAAAATGTTTAATTAAAATATTGACACTTATTATTCGTCAAAAAAATAATTTAATAAAAAACTTTTTTTATGAAATTATTTAATAATTTGATAAAGTCTGATTTCATAATTTTCATGATAAACATAATTTTACTCCAATTGGAATGACAATGAAAAAGTAACGAGATTATAAGAAAAAAAAAACATTTAAAAGCATTATAAGGCATTAAGTTGAAAAATTATCAAAATAACTTGTTATAACGTAATAGAAATCTTTATCTTTCTCTTCCTCTTTCTCTCTCTCATCAGTCGTCGATGGAGCAGATGCTGATGCCGTGACAAACCAGACAGCCGTCGCTTCTCGCGTTCTCCTCATGTATAAGATAATATCGACACAAGTTTGTATTCGAGAGACTGATGAAATATAACTTTGAGAGTCGTGATGTTTTTTTGTTACTTTTTCAAAAACACTCTAATCTTAATTTTGTGATACTTTCTTTAATGAATCTTGAAACAATAAACAAACGCTTTATCGCTTCGAACAACAGCTACTGTATGATTTAAAATCATTAGATAAAAAGAAAACAACAATTTATTAGATTAACTTTATCAAAATTCTATATATATATCTAAACCATTCACATAGTTTTAATTCTTACTATCCTCTTCCGTTTCTTACGTAATATTCTAACAATATACACACAGAAATTATAGATATGACTTTTGAATATTATTTTTTACACTCACGTCGTGTAATTAAAGTTTGCGCAACTGTTTTGTTAAATTTTTTTTAACGCTTATTCTCGTATTCAGATCTTTGACTTCCAACGATGCTTCGCACGAATATTTGATCGCACGAAATTACAACAATAACAGAAAATATAAATGGAAGCGATCCCGCACGCGAGCTATTGTTCAATACACACTGATCCGGGCGTCGCTCGCTTGTGTCCGAATCCATTCTTTCGGTAGCTTCGCTATACGTGTAGCAATATTTATGAACAGCTGGCGAAACTCTCATACGTGTTCTTCGTCTTCTTAATATTTGCGTTGCTTCGTTACGTCTGTATGATTAATCCGTAAACATTATCGTCGAACGATTACGAGCAATAAAGAAATGTCTCAGGACTGGACCACAGGTCGTTTATAGACAGGTGGGAAGGATCACATGACGGGCGTCTCTGTAATTTGTCTTTTGTTTCCCTCGCGCCCAGAGGAAGAAAACTTGCGAGGAAGAACAAAGGGCGGAAAGAACCACAACTTCGAACAGAGAGCGGTGGAGAAGAGAACGATTATCCCTCTTCGTTCCGTTCTCAACTTCTTCCTCTCTTTCCTCTTTTCTGTCCTCCCCCTTTCTACTCCGCGCGCCACATCCTTTCTCTTTCTCTTTCTTTCTTCCCCCGGTTCTTTTAGTATCGAGAGGAACCTGCGGCCGCGACGGCCGCGACGGCGGCGTCGGCCAGAGTAAACGTATGAAAAATGAGTGACGAGAATTTGAAACAAACGAGAAGACAGCCAGCTCCACGTCCCCGCTTTGACGTGTCCGAAACAGGTAGACGGCGGTCAGTGAGGAAGGTTACCGTGATCGATAACTTTTTGATCGTTTCGGATGCCTTCGGGGCGTTTCAAGCTCGCCGAACATTGCAAATCTGAATTCTGAAGAGCGATCTACTTTAATATGACGCGGCCTCTTCGAAAACATTTCATCTAATGTTGATATTCAACTTAGGTTTAAATTGTCTTTCTAATCGCGAAATAATTTTTAAATAAAAAATATACGGAATATTTCGCCTTGGTTTAAAACTCTGTGAGTAATATTTATTTGAGAAGTATGATTTATGTTTAGATAGTAAAGAACCTTGAAGATCACAGACAAATTAATTGGAGAACAAAATTACTATTATACTTCGAAATCAATTGACATTGAAAGCAATACTAATAAAAGTTTGATTTTTGACATTCTCTCTCTTTTCTCTCTTTCTCTCTCTCTCTCTCTTTCACACACGCGTATATCCGTTTGAAGCAATGGAAGAATTATTCATCGCATAAGAAAGTAGGACATTTAATGCGCCATTGGGTAATTTGTGGCGGATAAGCGAGGGAAAACTGGTAGGTGGAATTGGCATAAACTGGTGCTCATTACAGATTTACATCGAGGCGCGTAGTACCGGTATGGCAATGAACAAAACTAAACACACGAGAACAGAATGAAGGGAGTCGAAGTGGAATGGCTGGAAGGGTTCTCGGCTGTTTTGGTTTTGGTGGGCTGTCGGGGGTTGCGGGTTCTGCGCTGGATACGAGCTATAATCAATTAACAGTGAGCAAAACAAGAACTGCGGCCGACCACCGACCACGACCGCAAAATATTTCGTACCTTCCTGTTCCAGTTCGGCTGGAACCCCATCGTTACGTTCAAGTGGTTACCTCACTTGCTGATAGGGTTATTGTCCAGAGAGAATTGATTCTTGCGTTATGTACCATTGCGCGACGATGCGGAACATCAACGCTACCACAATTTCAGCTATTGATACTCGAACCTCTTGCCAACATGGTGGTATTGAAATAGTTAAGTTTTAGTATATTGGTAGCTTCTATGCGCGAGTTTAAACTGCGAAAGTTGCTTTTCTAGTAATTTCTAATGTACGTGTGTTATATATAGAAAGAAAAATAAGCACATTCATTTCTTTAGAAAAAAGTAATTTTAGATTGTT